TGGGGTGAGGGGGGATTGGAGTGAGGTTTGAAATAGAATCTAGAGAAAGAGTGAGCAAAGTGTGAACTGGGGGAGGGCTTTTACAAACACTTTTTAAATTGTCACGACACGGTGGAATCAGGCGCTCGTCAATTTTTGGGTATATGGAGTTATTGGTATCATCTGAAAGCTGATTTATTCGCCTTGCTTCCAATGAAATAAATATCCATCGGTCTTGAATAGAACTCAAGATAATGATATTTGCAATTAAATGAAGTATGGTCGCCTGGTTTTTCAGTTGAGAAAAGTTGCGCCTAGGTTTGGTAAAAACAGAAAAATGACACATTGCGTTCCTTTAAGCAATGTTTTTCAGTAAAATTCACTTGGAAATGTGTTTTTATATGGACATAAAAGAGGTTGAGCCAAAAAATTAAAATGGAATAAAAATGTCCAAGTACACTGGCGGGAAAATGCCTGTTTCTCAAATTTCTGTATTTAAACGATCGCCTGATTTCACCATGCTCCCTGACAACAATTACACTTAGCTAAGCGTTACAGAGAGTCGCTTCTCTGGGGTACAAACTTTCTGAGATTTTGAATCTGAAAAGTAATAGAAGGCCCAACAACCCGTAGAAGAACATCACAGCTATGCTCATCCTATAATAACCAAAAAATGTATGTGGATAACATCTGAGATCTTCATTTAGACGATAAAACTACCCTTTCAGTAATCGCTGAATGGTAAATGGATGAATCCAAAATCGGTGGGTTTTTTTTCTTCTTTCATCTGATTGAAAACAAAAAAGCACATACACATGCTCTCTCTGCCAATTCCACGTTCGAAATGAATTGTTACATCAAAGTCTTAAGACGCTTATTTAGTCTTTGGTCGAGTGCGGTTGGACTCAAATGTGAGGCAGCGTGGTGGAATCAGGCTCTCGTCAATTTTGGGGCATGTAGAGTTATTGGTATCATCTTAAAGCTTGTTCACTCGTCTTTATTTGGGTGAAAAAATATCCATTTATCTTGAATACAAGTTGAGATGTTTGCGAAAGGAGGAGGTGGGGGTCACCTGTTTTCAGAGGTAAAATAAGTGAGAAAATGACCGCCAAAGATTGGTTATTTCCTTAGCTTAAGAGTCCGGGGTAACTGAAAATTTACATTTTTTGTGCCTTTAATCAACGTTTTTCATAAACATCCACACAGAAATAAATTCTTTAATGGACGTGAAAGGTGTTGAGTCAAAAAACAAAAATTTGATAAAAATTCACAAACCTGCGGAAAAATGCAAGTTTCTTCACTTATATTATTTTTGACGAGAGCCTGATTCCACCACGCTGCCTCACAAATGGAAGTTAAATTCTGCCACAAAACCGACTAAACGGTCTAAAGACAGATTTGACTTGGTGTGGCATAGGCCTAATATACAGACTTCAACATTAAGTTAAGGACCACTTGCAAACACTCTGAGTAGTCTTCTTGGGTCGACCTGCACGTGGGCGTTCTTGGACTGATCAAGTGGCTTGATGGCGCCGCCTCAAACGGACAATGACAGAGAGTGACACAGTAAGCTTTCTGGCAACTTCTCGGGCTCCAACTCCATCCTTCAGCCATGCCATAGCTCTGGCACGATCAAAGTCTCTCATTTAACTCTCAGCTTTCGTCTTGGTGGTATGTTGATGCGATACTGGATTTTGCGCAAACGGCGGCTTATATTGCCACCAAAGTGAGCACAGTTCGAGACCATACGTCCGTTTATCACGTGCACCAGAAATTTTAACTGAGGAATGTCCGTGGTGTTGCACACAAGTCGATACCCCCCCCCCCCCGGCAAATTTGGCTAAAATTCCTCAAGGATTTCTGTGCTGCAGGTGGTGGTATCAAAGGTTTATAGCCTCTCTTCCACTTTGGATGTTAAAGATCGTCATCGTTTCATGATGGACGAGCTATTGAATTTAAAGACTCCACTCAAGGAACTTAGGTACTATAGATCTATAATGCGTGAACTTGTTGCGTGTCCAATGGAGGATGTAGGACTATAACAATTTTTTTTTAAAATTACAATTTTATTGATCCCAGAAGGACAATTTGATTTACAATGGCAAACATACACTACACAGATAAATACAATTGAGGCAATATCTATACAGAAATACAGTTTGGCGCTCCTTATTAAGATCGGGAGTTGCCAAATTCGAAGTAAGTCGCGTCAGAAAGAACGAATAGAGACAGCAGCTGAGAAAAGGCAGAGAGAGCCTTACCTTCCAGCCTAGTTCAGCCCCAAACACCCCCTGCCCCCACTGCAACAGACATTTCCAAGCGAAGATCGGCTTGATCTGCCATCTCCGCACACACTCCACCCCTCCAGTGATGTGAAGTCAAGATCATCTTCGCCAGGGAAGTACGAACATCACATAAATACATAATAATAGATACATACATACATGAATATAGATACACACATACAAACATAATACTCAATATCACCAATACAGAACAACCATGCCATTGCTTTTTGCCACAAAAAAAGACTATAAAAAGGAAGTTCAAAAGTTCTTGATGATGACTAACCATACTTTATTTACTTTCAGGGGACGTAATAAAGGAATGCAATAATATAACATACATTATTTCTCTGTTGTCTCCCTTGGTTATTTTTAACATGACATCTATAGGCAATTATACAATTTCATATCTTATTGGTATTTTATTTCATGAAATTCAGGACACAAAAAGTTTGAACCAGTCGTTGATTGAAGAAATACAATAAGAATTGGCACTGCTTTGAATTAGATGGGTGTTGCAACTTAGTATAAAATAAATCTAATAAAATGATATGGGAAGATTAGGGACACAGAAGGGAGGTGAATTCCTGGCGTAGGTCTTTGTTCGTGGATTCCATTGGTTAGTGGTTACTTCCGCTATGAATTTATTCTTATTTTTCATTGGATATATCTATTTGCGGAAACACGTGACTAAAACGTCACAAGGAATCCCTCAAATTGCGTGAAGAGGATTCGGCATCCCGAATATTTCCTTGACACATTGCCGTATTTATTTGTTCCAAGTTTATGATTCCTCAAAGATTTCACGATGTCAAACATGACTGGTGTATTCGACTTAGAGCTAACAGAAGACGGCGGACGAACAGAGGATGTGTCAGATGAGGAGTATTTTGAAGCAGATGAGAGCAGTGGCCGCCAACAGGTTCGTGTCTTGATCTCTCAAGTATGGACATTAGGCCCACTGTGGTAAAGTAGAAGTAGAAAAATGGAGTCAGGGGTGAACCACGCAGTGATGCCTCTAGTTTTGAACAGGTCATGGTTTAATTCATTATGTGTCCGGTAGAGTAAAGTTATTCTATCGTCCGTTACACTGACCAAACGCTATGAACCATGAACTCGTAACTGAGAACGCTGTCTCGTAGACAGCATGTGGCCATGGGCTTGAGTTTGAGTAGGCCAAGTGAACAGCACAGTAGACTCAGTAGTGAGTGACAGTTGACTTAGTCAGTGTCGTGTCTGTCACTTGCTGTGATTTCGCATTGATTACCAAGAATGTAGTTAAGTTGAGAATAGCCAGTACTGACAGGTTTGATGACTGGTTGGCAGAGACACCCAAACTGACGAAGCAAAGTCTGAAAGTAGACCAGCCCCTCCTTTGAATAGATGTCTACATGGTCTAGCTAAGCCTAAAGCCTGCCTAATGTTTCAAATGCTGAAGAGTTGGGACATGGTCATCACGAGGAAAGATGAATCAGCATCTGCAAATGCAAACAAGAGGGGTTCTATTTAAAAAAAAGAAGAAATAAACAGAACAAGAACATCTAGATATCTAGATCTAGAATCTAGAACTAGATTCTAGATCTAGAGTAGTCGGTTTTTTTTTCGGTAGTTCTCACCCCCTTATTTGAGCCTGACCTACATCTAGATCTATATCTCTAGATCTAGATCTATACGTTTGATTCGCGGTGAGCTAAGATATCAAACCTAACAACAGCAAAACATTAAATTGTGGTAAAATTCAGGGGGGCATTCCCCCCTGAAACCCCCCTTCCTATTTTTGTTAGGTCAGGGGGGCATGCCCTCCTGAAACCCCCTTACTCTTGGGGCCAAAACCGGTGAATAACAATTGCGGGGTGGGAACTACCGAAAAAGCGCCGAGTAGTCTAGGCCACATTGTCTTACAAAATTTCTTGTAGTTGTAGGCTATCAGTTTTGAATAGAAATTAGAAATGGATGGTGTCTCTTTATCTTAGTAGAAGAGTCAATTATGAGTAATTTAAATGGCCACCTCTATTCTCACCCGGAGTGAGAATAGTGCAGGCGAGTCTTGTGACTATTCTCACCCGGTGCGCGTTCACCCTAAACCACAGAATTCTACACTGTGATAACAGAAAAATTGTAGAATTCTATGCCGTGAACAAACGTTCCATTACAACTGTAGCCTACTAACAGCGTACAATTTTGTCTGTGGGCAGTGGAGAGAGAGAGAGAGAAAGAGAGAGAGGAGTAGCGCGAGAATTTCCGGGCAAAACAAAATGGCGACACCCGCGTAGTTCGGCTCGATTCGAAAAGTTAAATAGCCGTAGCATCTTTGTAGACAACCAAATTAATTTACTTTTGTGTTTTAACATCATTTTTTAACTTTGTTTTGGTCAATTTGATCGTCCACACCGATAGACAGTATTCAGAAAGAGACAGAGAGAGAGAGAAGAGGGGAGGAGTTGATCTTGCGAGAACTTCCGGGCGGGTGAGAATAGCTACTTTCAATTTAAATAAATTTAGTCTCTTTATAACATCTAGATCTAGATTTCTTACTTGAGGTTTCTGTGAGCATTGGCAGTAGAATCTAGGGAGTGTATACGGACCCGGTAACCGGGAACGAAGTCACAAAGTATACAGACCCGGTAGGGGAACTGTTTTGTGATTTTGGAGAGTTTCAGCGCCCTCTTGGCTCAGGGTAGACCTAGGTTCTTCTAAATCTATGATCTAGATCTAAGCAGACAGACATAAATCTTTCATCTAGTTTCGCGGCTAATCTAGATCTAAATGAAGATTGCGGATGTCTTTTCGACTAACGATGGTTTTTCCTCCGTTTTGGAGTTGGAGGAATCACAATTTGAAGAAAAAAACAAATTACAATGTCATAATTTCAATCGAGCAGTCCCCCCCCCCCCTCTCTCTCTCTCTCTCTCTCTCTCTCTCTCTCTCTCTCTCTCTCACTCTTTCTCTCTCTCTCTCTCCTCTGTGTACCGCTCGCCTTCTCTTTTTCTTTGTTTGTCTCTGTATTTCTTTGTCCCCACCTATTTTCCACTCTATCTTTCTCTCTTTCCCTCCTGCCAACTGGGGCATGTCATTTATTTTGCTAGCACCCCCCCTCTCTCTCTCTCTCTTTCTCTCTCTCTATCTCTCTCTCTCTCTCTCTGTCTCACACACACACACACACACACAAAAGATTTCTTCCGGGTCTGAGGTCTGAAACTTCCCGAAATCACAAAAGAGTTCCCCTACCGGGTCTGTATACTTCGTGACTTTGTTCCCGTTACCGGGTCTATACACTTCGATCTAGTTATTGTAAGGTGACTCTGGGCTTAACTCTAGATCTAGGTCCTGGTAACTAGGTAGGCCTAGATGTCTTGAAATGATCCTTTCTTCTGTCACTAAACCTGAAACATTTATCTAGATCTAGTTCTTTGTCAAGTCTACATAGATCTGTAACGTGACAACCAGACTCAAGATTTAAATCTAGGCCAAACTCAAGTCAAGGCAGTACACAGTAGGAGCTATTCTCATGTTAAATTAAAACAGACACTACGTTTTGCTTTGAAATTGTTTCCCCCTGTCTAAACTACTAAACCCCAATCCAGAGATGGGTTGCTTTGGTCTCGGACTGTAGTATAGTGTACACAAAAGTAGGCTATCTAAGCTTCTCAGACGGCTGGCTAGCATTTCATGGGGAGCGGACAAGGATGCACTCAGACAGCTATTGGTTTATATGTGTGCACTCTGCCTTGGAATATCTTAGTTAACGGAGTGTCTACGTACACGGTAAATGGGCACCTTGTCTCAGTATCTTCGTACACTTCGTGTTTCTTAAAACAGCGGGATCTTAAGCAAACCGGGATCGTAAGCGGTGGGATCTTAGGCGGAGACTACTGTATATATATATATATATAGGCGTGTATGGCGTTAAATCCCGTGACCACTAAAACCCCTCCCAAATAGGACCGGCATTTTATCTTTTTCGCGTTGCTTTGGGTCTTTTCGTGTCTTTTCGCATTTTAATATGACCAGTCTGAATCCCACCAGTCCAGAGGTCAGTACTTTGCTTTGGGCTGTATAGTGTACTCAAAAGTCTTCAGGCTATCAAACTATCTTATTTTTTCTCTTGCTGACTAGTGCCACTGTTCCCTCTCTGTATTTTCTGAAATGGGATCAACACCATCAGTCCTCTGAACTTTGACCCATTTCTTAATCTTTGTATGCCTAGATGTGCTCTAAAAAATAGTTGCTGGTGGCAGTCTTGCTTCATGCTCTCTTTGTTGTTGATAAGGAAGCCAGTAATAGTACATGATGTTATCTGATGATCATGAACCTGTTTAAGCCCACCTGGCTTTTGTTGAACTGATTTCATGTAATTCAGAAACGTTTGATCACCTTTTTGATCGGACCCCTACTTTCCTTTTACTTTTATTGAATTGAAATTCTTGATCAACTAGTCAGGAAGGACAGGGGGGGCTCTCGTGGCCTAGAGGTTAAGGTGTTGGCCTCTCATTCAAAGGTCCCGGGTTCAAATCTGGGTAGCGACGGAAATTTTTTTTTCTGTTCTGACTTTAAAATTGTCTCCTTTCACCTCCTGACCTTTCCTTCTCTCTACCAATGTTCTATCATCTGCTTTCATCTTAACTTTCTGCCCCGACCCCCTCGCCCCTTTTGCCCCTCCTCTGGGCTCCTGACTCTTTCTGCAGCCTTTCTACTGCTACTCCTTGGCTCCTTCTTACTGCTGTCTTTCAGCCACACCCCTGATCTTCTGGTAAGAAAGATCTACACCTAGCCTTCTTGGACAGGGGCGAAAAATCTCGGAGGTCCCATGTGCAAGTTGTGCACGTTAAAGACCCCTTGGTGGTGTAAAGTCGATAAGAGTGGGCTTCGGCCGCCTCCCGGGCAAAATTCAAAATTTCCTACCAACTGAAAATGTTTGGTGTGTCCCGCGCGCTCATGACCTTATATAAATAAATGCAGTATGCGAGCACCGTCAAACACTTGCCAAAAAAAATAAATTATAAAGGCTTTTCTTATCATTCATTTTCATCAAGGATCTAAAAGTCTGAGGTGGACGGGATTTATCTCTGTGTCTTGACCATTTTAAATATTTCTGTGTTTCTTTTGTGTTTTTGAACTTGAATGCTTTTGTCATAGAGAACCTTTCACATATAATTAATTGTTATCATTTTCTCTTGGCCTTGCTTATTTATACATTGCCCATATTTGGTTATTATGGCAATCGTCTTAAAAAAACAATTTCCTCTCCCGTGTACGGGAAATTCTGTCATCAATGGAAATTTACCCACAGCAAACTGAACTTTACAGGGAAAGGGACAAAAGTGAAAAAAAAGACAAGTCTATAGAGGCATTGGCATTGAGAAAAGTAGCAGCAGAAAGTAAATCAGCTCTGTACCGAGGAGAGATGTATTATAGAATATATCTCTGTGGGTAGGTGTAATGGAGGTAGGGATTATTGCCCAACAAGGATTAGTCGTGTGCTCGTTGGAAAATAGTGCAGTCAGAGGTCGTGACATGTAGTACCTGCGCAGTAGGTCAGAATAATTTTCTCTTCATTCATGACTAACTGAACGAATTGAACTCTTTCTGGGTCAAGTGTTAGAGTTGTGTTTTTGACAGTTTTTACCAGTGTGTGCTGGCTGTAATCTCACTCATTTAAAGAGTGGATGGTGATTGTTAGCAGATCACTGAGATAGTTGACATCAAGTACCTTTGGATCAAATGCTAGTCTCAAATCGAAGACTTGACACCTTGAATAGGCTTGAAGTACCTTTTCATTGATCAAAATATGCTAGTCTCAAATCGAAGTGTAATCAAAATGTTTTTGATTTTTGTTGACTGCTCTGACCCAATGAGCAATAATGCTATATATATATGGGGGAACTCTCTCCTCCTGTTCTATATTTTTTGTCCACTGTCCTATGTTTATCTTCTGTCCTCTGTCTCTATAAAAATAATGAGTTGAGCGGTCTGTCCTCTGTCCTATATTTGTACGAGCTGTCTCTATATTGAGTCAGGCAGGGAGTATTGGAAAGAATGATTACCCCGTAATATACAGTCAAACCTGATCTGACTACCACCTGTCCAAGATGGTGGGTGGTTGGCGAGTGCTCTGGTGTGGGTTGCTTCTTCCTTCCTATCAAACATCTATCGCCTTCATCTCCCCTCATTCTATTTTGTGTTTGTTACTCTCTTGTCTTGTAACACCTTTAATCTTCGGTACTTATATATATATGACATTATTGTGTTGCCGGTTCTGTGAAACACTTATTAAAAAGCTAAAACTTTCCAAGATGGTCAACCCCCCGGGGCGGTGCCTCAGACTGAAGTGTCTTTAGGCCATTCCCAGAGGGGGGGCATTTTTCGTTCAAGCACAGTTGAATTGTAAATGGGCTGATTTATCATGTCACGCTCACAACTGCCTGAACTACAACAGGGAACTGCTGCTTTTTCTTTCCTAGTCCTTACTATTGTCATTTTCCTCTACTTCTTTTGTATGTTTGTCACACTCTTGTGACCCGCTATTTCTAGGGTGCCTTGATAATCGAAGCTGACCTTGTGCTGTTGAAGCTAGAGAGGTGAGCAGAGTAGAGTAGTAAGTCTGATTCCCTGTAAGGACTTCTCTGTTGACACCCACCCCTTGGCGCTCATATGACCTTATATGCAGTTTTGCGAGCACCGTAAAACCCTCTACAAAAACTATAAACAAGATGGTCACCTAGACCTAGACCCCTCCCCCCTCCCGTGGAATTAAAAAAGATTACATTTTTACAACATTAAAATGACAGTCTAAGAGAACCCCCTGTCTAAGATGAGCACTGTTCTTCTTGAGAATAATGAGTGGTTGTCTTTGACAGGGATAGCCCCCTTGTGCTTAAAATCGACAAAATCTAACATGTTGAAACAGCACAAACGTGAACTTTGTTTTCAGCGCTAGTTTATAGTTTGCTGGATGGGCTCTGGAAACAAACGGTTCTCTGGAAAGTTGTGAAATAACAGTGCTGTACTTGTTTCATCTCCTTCATTTCTCTTCTCTTCCCCCCCCCCCCCCCTCACACACACACATCATACATATATATACACACTCACACACACACACACACGCACACACTCAACCACCATTTTCATTTGCTTAGTTGATTATTGAATGTGAATGATATAATATAGGATTTAAATAATTATGTTCTATATTTTTTTCTGTTCTGTTTTACTTTCAGGAGTATGGTGGTGATGGCCTGCCAAAGTGAGTATTGCACTTTTCATGAGATTATATATGATTATATGACGATACGGGTAAATCATAAAATCAATATAAGACATCTACAGTTGGACCAATATTACTATTAGTCATTTAGTCATTTTTTGCTTTTTTTGTTCTTATAAATCCGTGCGACTGCTAGTGCTCATTTACTGCCTGTGTCAGTCCATGACAGGTTATGGTGTGATGCTATTAGAATCTGACTTAACCAGCATGAATGAATGGTTTAAGTTGCATAATAATATATTATATATATATATATATAACATTTTTTTAAAAAGAACGATCGAAGAGCTATATATATATAGTGCCTGTCTGAGGGGGGGCTGTGAATATTTTTTCCTTGTCTTGGTTGGAATGTTTCCTGTTAGTAGTCTCAGGATGATGTTCGGACTGGGTTCAAAGTGACCCAAAAGTATCCGTCATTCTCAGTTTAGTACTAGTACTAGGGCATTTTTTGACTACCCCCCCCCCCCCCCCAACCCCCCCGCCCCCCCCCCCCACAAAAACCAAAACCAACCCAGAGACCTCAAAAACAAAATCACGTGGATGAATAGAGTGTATTTCCACCCAGTTGTAGAATACCATCGCTCTCTATATTCAACTTGTAACTTTGAAGATGATTGTATTGTGAAAGTAATGAAGGGTTTAGTCTGTTGCGGCTGTTCTGTTTGTCTGATGTCTGATGTCTACTGTTGAACCAAAGAGGGTCGCCGTTGTCTTTTCCACCCCCCGGGGCAGTGCCACTGACTGTATGTAGTGTCTTTAGGCCTTTCCCAAAGGGGGGACATTTCTCGTTCAAGCATAGTAGAATTGTAAGTGGGCTGACTCATGTCACGCTCATAACTGTGCCTGGTCTGCAACAGGGAACTGCTGCTTTTTCTTTCCTTATCCTTTCTGTTGTCATATGTTTGTCACTCTCTTGTGACCTGCTATTTTAGGGTGCCTTGATAGTTGAAGCAGACCTTATTGTGCTGTTGAAGCTAGAGAGGTGAGCAGTCTAAGTCTGATTCCCTGTAAAGACTTCTCTGTTGACACCCACCCTTTGGCGCTCATATGACCTTATGCAGTTGCGAGCGCCGTAAAACTGTCTATTATAAAAAAAAACAACAGAAAAAAAACATTGTATTGTGAAAGTAGCGGAAAGTTCTGTTTGTTAATGTCTGATGTTTGAAGCAAAGAGGGTCCTCATTGTCTTTCCCTTTACTACAATATTTCCTTTTAGCTTTTGTTGGGTTGCTGCAAATACCCCTCTCGAGTGGGTGGTTGGCGGGTGCTCTGGTGTGGTTTGCTCCTTTCTTATCAGACTTCCATGTATCGTCCTGATCTCCCCTCCTTTTTTGTGTTTGTTACTCTCTTGTAACACATCTAATCTTCGGCACTTTTATATATATATATATATATGACCTTATTGTGTAGCATATTTGTCGTAGTCAAAATTCACTAAATTTTAAAACTAAAACTAGACGAATTTAAAAGTTTTTTTCCCCCTTAAAGGAATAATTAACTTGTAACTTAACTTTGTATGCTTGCAGCATTTGCAACCGAGCCTATGCCGAAAGGTAGGAGTATTTGCATGAGAAGACTTTTAAAATTTAAATCAACCATTACTCATGAAAAAATGTTTCCTACTAAAAAACATTATAATGCACACATGGCAAGGAAATGAGTTGGGTAAAGCTGCCTGAGCAGATTAATTGATGTGTGTATCTTCTAAAATATAACTCTTCGTAGAACGTTAAAAGTTCTAAAAATGGGGCATTTTTTTATCATCTTGAGTGCACCCGTAATGTTAATGAATACTGTAAATCAGGCAGTAGCGCATTGAAATATGGAAAATATGTAGTATACACCATCCATGTGCCATGTGTCCATTGACAGGGTTATATTTTCTGGTATCAGGGGTGCCAAATGTCCGTTTTTTCCGGGTTTTTTTTTCGTCTGTTGGAATTGCGAAGGAAAGGGGAGAGGTAAGAGAGAATATGTGAGACAGCGTGGTGGAATCAGGCTCTCGTCAAAATATTCAAAGTGAAGAGACTTGCATTTTTCCGCAGGTTTGTGAATTTTTATCAAATTTTTGTTTTTTGGCTCAACACCTTTCATGCCCATTAAAGAACTCATTTGCGGGTGGATTTTTCTGAAAAGCGTTGATTTAAGGCACAGAAATGTAAATTTTCAGTTATCACGGACTCTTAAGCTAAGGAAATAACAAATCTTTGGCGGCCATTTTCTCACTAATTTTACTTCTGAAAACAGGTGACCCCCACCTCCTTCTTTCCAAATATCTCGACTTGTATTCAAGATAAATGGATATTTTTTTCATCTAAATAAAGACCAAGTGAACAAGCTTTAAGATGATACCAATAACTCGACATGCCCAAAAATTGACGAGAGCCTGATTCCACCACGCTGCCTCACATATATTTTTTTTCTTCTCACTTAAAAGCTTTACAAGGTTCGGTTTAGGTGAGATGTGATGTGATGCTCTGCTCATTTTCAGGTTTAAAAAAAAAATAATTTGGCATCCCTGTAATATTAATGATGTTATTGCTGATTAAAGTGTATAAGTATTAAACATTAGTTTGACATTGATCCGTCAAAAGGTTAATTTCCTCTCTGCTGTATGATTTTGTTAAAATGTGACATTGATTAAAACTATAATCCAGGTGTTGTCTTAATAATGTTATGAACAAACATAATTTATAATAATAATAATAGATGACTTTTAAATAGCGCTCAACCCCGATTAAAGTACACAGGCTCTGAGCACTTTACAATACAACAGTGCAACGTACAACAGATGACTTTTAAATAGCGCTCAACCCTGATTGAAGTACACAGGCTCTGAGCACTTTACAATACAACAGTGCAACGTACAACCACAACATAAAACATGTTCTGACTATGATTAAAACTAAAAGAAAACTACTCCAAATATTCATCTTATGAATTTAATTTAACACAGGAATGACTTCAGCTGACATCTAATGATATTTAAGCAAAACATCATGTATGGTGGGACCTCCTGCTGTTTCACAACCTCCTTTTTTTCCATTGTTGCATGAACACAGGAGAACGACGTGCAGAAGACTTAAATTTGACGCGAAGAAGTAGAAGCAAAAATATGTTATTTATGTCCCAAAGATAATGGGTTGTCATAATGTTATGAACGAACAGTTTGTTATGTCACAAAGATAATAGGTTGTCATAATGTTATGAACGAACAGATGAACGGACGTTTTGTTATCTTACAAAGATAATGGGTTTTCATAATGTTATGAACGAACATTTTGTGACTCATGTCACGCTCATAACTGTGCCTGATCGACAACAGGGAACTGCTGGTTTTTCTTTCCCGATCCTTACTGTTGTCATTTTCCTCTACTTCTTTTGTATGTTTGTCTCTCCCTTGTGACCTGCTATTTTGGGGTGTCTTGATAGTCGAAGCAGACCTTGTGCTGTTGAAGCTAGAGAGGTGAGCAGTCTAAGTCTGATTCCCTGTAAAGACTTCTCTGTTGACACCCACCCCTTGGTGCTCATATATGACCTTTTGCAGTTGCGAGCGCTGTAAAACCCTCTGCTCTAAAAAAAAAAGAAAGAACATTTTGTAATGTCACAATGATAATGGGTTGGCATAATGTTATGAACGAACATTGTGTTACAACATTTTGTTATGAACGAAACCTCATACATCTTACCGTATTATTATTGTACTGTTGTTTTGAGATGCATTTAAAAAAATTAACGCAACTGGAGGACATTATTTTAGACTTTGCTTACATTCTGATATTTTGATTTTTATTATTAGTGTATGGGTGTGTATTTTAATCTGTTATTATATTTTAGCAGCCATTGTTAGGATGAACGGACTACTTATTTTCCATAAAATATATTTTGAGGGCTTTTTTAAAATGTTAATAAATTTTGTTAAAATTTACACACATTAAACTTTTATAAAAGGAGGAGAGAATCATTTAATAAAAGTATGTCTAAGTGAATGACACATCAAAATATTGGGTTTGAAGTTGAAGTTTTTTATAATTGTTCTGAACAAACAATAAGAGGAGAGTTTCATGAATGAAAAGCATTTTATGTGAATAACATCAATTTAAATTAATTTTTTGAGCCCAAATGAAAATTTATCATACTAGTTACGATCAAAATTATGTCATAATGATTATGAACGAACCTGAAATTTATTCATAAAATGACATATGATCAGATTGCCTGGAAAAACAAATGTCAAATAGTCTTTTATTTTGTCACTTGGCTATAATTAGACACCGGAATTTTATTTTTATGGCCAATTCTTGTCAAAGATACTTAACATAATCGATGGTTTTACTGGTCACTTATTGTTCATTCATGCCTATTATTATGACAAGTGCCGTAACACATCCCTTAAACCAGACAACTGCACTTCCTATAGTGACAATAAATATTGTGAATAATAAATTTGTGGCGTCGGTGGCCTAGTGGTTAGGCTCTCGGACTCGCAACCATAAGGTCGTGGGTTCGAATCCCGTCAGGGTCCCGACGTTCTATCCTTGGGAAAGGCACTTTTCACAAACTTTCCTCACTTCACCCAGGTGGAAATGGGTACCCGGCTATAAACAGTGAACGATCTTGTGAGTTTGATAGTATTTGAGCGCTTGAAATCCGCAGCTTGCACTGTATGCTTCCGCGGGAGCCGAGAATATTTCTGAGTGTTCTCAGAGGGTCAGCTGGGGTAATAATAGTTGTAAAGCGCATAGAGCATGCTCTTGAGCATGGATATAATGCCCTATATAACTGCAATTATTATTATTTATTGTTATTATTATCTCGAGTTCTATTCAAGATAGATGGATATCTATTTCCTTGAAAGCAAGGCAAATAAATCAGCTTTGAGATGGGGCCAATACTTCCACATATGCCCAAAAATTGACGAGCGCCTCCTAATTCCACTGCGTCGTGACACGTGACATATGGTCCAGTTAGTCTTGAATTTTTCATCATGGATATTGACCAGTGTTAAATAAAGAGTTCTTTACTTAAAAATTACTTACTTTACTTTTTCATCCTCTGTTGCCGTTAAGCGTCGAGGGGAGATGCAGTTTTCTATGGTAGGCCAGCTCCGCAGCTCTTTCAGTTGTGATGTCATGTTAATAAAGAGTTCCCTTGTTTTGTTCTCTCCAGTGAAGAGATCATGGAGACGATAGAGCTGTCAGCCCAAACAGTCAATCCCAGTAATGTGCGGAAGATCGGCAGAGAGCGATTTGAGATCATAAGTCTACTTGGAAAAGGTGGCTATGGAAAGGTAGGAGGTAGTTCTAGTTTTGTTTCTGTGTTTTTACAGCTTTCTTTCTTTTTTTTCCTTTTTCCTTTTTTCCTTTCTTTGTTTTTCTTTTTCTTTTTTTCCGCAAAAAAAATTTTTGGGTCTTTTTTTTCTCTCTATTTTTGTGTGTGGGTGTAATTTCACCATTGGACTGAGTCCTTTCTATAACTTTCAACAAGTCAGGGGCCACCCCTGGGCTTGAGAACTGGTAATATGTCGATATTTCATTCTTAGTCTTCAAATCTCCTTGCTTTTTCTTTCCTATCCAGCATATTCGTTCCTATTTCACCTCCTTCTTTTTTGGGTTTGTTACTCTGTTGTAACATCTCTATTCTTCGGCACTTACAATGACCTAATCGTGTTGCAAGTGCCGTAGAACTCTTACTAAAACTAAAACATCTATTGTCCTGATCTCCTCCTTTTTTGTGTTTGTTACTCTCTTGTAACACCTCTAATCTTCGACACTTATATGACCTTATTGTGTTGCAGGTGTCGTAAAACTCTTACTAAAACTAAAGAATAACCTTTGAAAAGATTCTATTCCACCATTTTTTTAATGATTACTTTACTATGTTGTTGTTGTTTTCAAATCCCTTTAGCTGGGAGCATTTCGCTCTTGGCAGCGCAATGCCTCCCTCAAGTAACCACATGTCCTTGTCATCTTGTCAACGCCAGAGAGACTACTTTATTAAAACTAAAGAATAAGAATAACCCTTGAAAAGATTCTATTACACTACACCATTTTGACAAGACTACGGTGGTGTCCACAGGTGTTATTGGCGGAGATGCTGGACGAGTCCAAGAGCAAGTACGACCCTCCCAGGCTGTATGCCATGAAAGTCCTCAAGAAGGTATAAGTTCTTGTTGTTGCCTTTGCTTGCTGGTTTTTTTTTGTTTTTGTTTGTTTGTTTTTGGAGGGGGTGAGTGGATGGTTGGTTGGTTGGCGGGGGCTCTGGTGTGGTTTGCTCCTTCTTTCCTTTAAAAAATGTATTGTTGTCTCTATCTCCCCTCCACTGGATGGTTGGCGGGTGCTCTTGTGTGGTTTTCTCCTTCTTTCCTATAAAGAATATATTGTCTCTATCTGTCTCCCCTCCTTCTTTGTTTGTGTTTGTTACTCTCATGTAACACCTCAAATCTTCGGCACTTATATGACCTTATTGTGTTGCAAGTGCCGTAAAACTCTTACTAAAACTAAAACTAAGGAGGGGGAGGGGGTTCTTTGTCGTCCATAAGTAGTTCCTACTCTCCAGTTTTCTGAATCTTTTTCTCTGAGAGCTTTTGGTTGAAGGGTGTTCTGGGGTGGTTGATGGGTGTTCTGGGGTGGTTTCTTCCTTGTTTCCTGTTGAATGTCTGTATTCTATTGTTCTAATCTCTCCTCTCTTTTACCCCCTGTTCATAAAATGTTCTTGTGCACAGGAGAATTGTAAATGGGCTGATTCATCAGTGTCATGCTCATAACTGTGCCTGAACTGCAACACGGAACTGCTGCTTTTTCTTTCCTCATCCTTACTGTCATCACTTATCCTCTACTTCTTTTGTATGTTTGTCTCACTCTTGTGACCTGCTATTTCCTGGGTGCCTTGATAGTCGAAGCAGACCTTGTGCTGTTGAAGCTGGAGATGTGAGTAGAGTGTGCCTGATTCCCTGTAAGGACTTCTCTGTTGACATCCACCCCTTGGCGCTCATATGACCGTATGCAGTTGCGAGCACCGTAAAACCTGTACTACAACAAAAAATGAGAGAACGACTGATTTTGTGTTTTGCTCTTCTTCCAGGCCACCATCGCCAGAAATCAGAAGGACACCGCCCACACAAGAGCAGAAAGGAATATTCTGGAGGCTGTCAAAGTGAGTATGAGATAACACGCTTCCTGGAGTTACAAATTCCTATCAGCTCAGTTCCTAATTTTGAGAAATTTGAAATTAAATAATGTTGAGATTCACATGTCAAATTTTTTTTTCCCGAATGCAATTTTTTGAATGTCTTTATAGCAACTCCGAACAATCTTACGATTTTGATAGAGCAGATAGAATATTTGCTATCTGACCTCATGGTCTCAGTTACTCTTTACAGCCCAAAATGTATGTTCAGATAGAACTTTGTTGTAAATCTAAGGTAGCAGCGAATAGTTTTCTGAAGTTTTTCACATGTCCATAAGAAGCTGTCCCGCTCTCTTCCTCTCTTTAGGTCTAACGTCTGTAACGTCTACTGCCATTGTTAACGACCAAGACAAATTTCTCCCTGCGAGATGAATAAAGATTGTCATTGTCATTGACTGTTTTTTTCTTGGTTGTTTTGTCTCTTTCCGCCCTCCTATTTACCATCAAATATTTAAATATATAGAATGTGATTTTGAAAGTGTGTAAGTTATATCTCTGTTTCAGGTTTGCTCATTGGATGCTTGGCGGGTGCTCTGGTGTTGTTTGCTCCTTCTTTCCTCTATAAAACATCTGTCTTCTGTATCTCCCCTCCTTCGTTTTTGTGTTTGTTACTCTCTTTTAACACTTCTAATCTTCGGCACTTATATGACCTTATTGTGTTGCAAGTGCCGTAAAACTCTTACTTGCTAAAACTAAGATTTGCTGATTTATTTATTTGTTGTTTTTTCAAGGGGATGGTTGGCGGGTGCTGTGGTGTGGTTTGCTTCCTCTTTCCTATCAAACATTTATCGTCCTTATCTCCCCCTCTTTTTTTTGTAAATATTACTCTCTTGTAACACCTCTAATCTTCTGGCACTCATATGACCTTATGCAGTTGCGAACGCCGTAAAACCTCTTCTAAAACTAAACTGTTTTTTCAAACCGTCCACAGCATCCTTTTATCGTGGATTTGCACTACGCCTTCCAGACGGACGGAAAGCTGTACCTCATTCTGGAGTACTTACCTGGTGGTGAGCTCTTCACACACCTGGAGAGAGAGGGCATCTTCATGGAGGATATGGCCAGGTGAGACAGGCTGGGGAACGATCATAGGTTGTTGTTGTTGTTGTTATCGATCCTGCAACAGCTGGGCTCTCGCCCTTCTGTCCAATGTCATGTAGTGATAGGT